TTACCAGTTCACACATATCTGTGAAGTACACTCAGGAAGAGGTGCTCTTTGTGTCAGAGTCCATCCCAGATTTGTTTTTAGACTTCCAGCCAACAAATCAGGCTATCTAAATCTTATATTGTCTATTTTTGGTTTTTCATGTTTCAAAATAAGTTTTTTTTCTCTGTTTTTCCCTGCAGTTATTGAATGTAACATTGCTCCTGTAAAAACAGAACCCCATTCCTCCCTCTACCTAAGGCCAAAACACTGGCGCTATGTTTAGATGTCTGGAACATTAGTAACTCCATCAAAGTTTGCTCTGAAAAGTCCCGACGCTGAAAAGAACGTGTGCTTTCCGTCAGTATAGGAGACACGGTATACTTTATGGTAATGCTGAATAGTACCGCTAAAACTGCAACTTTGATGGTAGAGATGGCAGGAAGACAGGAAAAAACGCGGTGTTTTTAACAAAAGATAGGATTACATCGCAGTGCTACAAAGTATGGAATGCCTTCAAGCAGTCTGAAAGGCTTCAGTCAGATATCCAACCTGCTTTCACACCATGACATGCCATTGGGCAGGAGGTGGTGATAGGTTGGAGGTCCATTACGGAGCCACGCAGAGACCAAAATTAAACAGACCACCGTAACAAAACACTTTAAACAAATTAGAGTCAACAATACCACAATCGTCAGATGACTTCTGCATACATGTAAAACCTAGTAGGCAACCCCTCCCACACCTCTGAGATCTGGTTTAAAACTCTCCTTTTTGACAAAGTGTATAATTAAGGATGGTTCAAGTTCATTGAAACATCTTCTAGTTGTGCTGCTGTAGGTCTGGACTGTAAGATGAATTCCAAAAAATGCTAATTTTGTCCTTTTTCTCAGCTGGTATCCTTGGGTTGTTGGGTTGTTGTTATGGTGTTATGGTGTTTATGTCCATCTTTCTTGTCCTCTCAAACCCCAGCTTAAACCAACTGAGTAAATTCAAGGTAGTTTTTTATGCCTTGTGCATGCTCGGGTTAGAGGGTTGAACTGAAGTGAAGATTTGGAAAAAAAAACCTGTTGCTTTCCTTAGCTTAGAAACTTTTTGGGTGATTTATTTTGCATGAATTTAACTAGTTTTGAACTGTAATTGATTGAATACTGAGTGTATTGTAATGAAGGAATTCCAATTAGCCTGAATTGGATTTTATCATTGAGCTGCCTTGGCATTGCATTTGCTGTTATATGACGCTATGTGAATAAACTTGAATTGAACTTAATTGAACCACTCTGATAACATCTATAAACACAGTACTGTTGCAGGGAATTGTCTGAAATATAAAAGCCATCTTATATTGGCTTTATTATGAGAATTTACCACACACAGGCAAATAGCACAGAATAGGAAGCTGAGTGGATGTATAGAAAAGTTACAATACAAAACAATATCCCCCATTTTTTTTTTTTAATCTCTGGTTTATCTTTGCTGCGGCCTCCCCATGTGACCAGACAGGAGAACATCAATATTACATTGAAAATGAGTAGATAGAGAGGCGAGAAAACAGCGACTTTACAACATCCTGTTTCCTTTATTAGCTCTTGTCTTGCTTTAACTGCTGTCTCACTGGTTGAGGCTATTTGTCAGATGCACAGCCTCAGCCTGGGCCGCTCACCTTTGAAGCATCACTTTAACCTGCAACTTTATGAAGAGAACACTTTGTTTCAGTGGATTTTTGTTTTCCTTCTCAGGTGAGAAATAAATGACAATCGATACTTAATGCAAGTGAAGACACCTTGAGCATAAAGTAACAGAAGTATAAAAGGATAGAAATGTTGTGAAAGCTTTTCCGGCAATCAGTCATTTGAGGCTAGAATATGGCAGCACTGTTTACAACGTTCACACACACACAGACACACACACACACACACACATTTTTACATGATCTCTAATCTTATCTCTCAGCATTGCTGAAATAAATATATAATAATAAATATATATTTTTTCAAATCACCAAGGTCGACTCTGGGAACGGAATGGATCCCTCATGAATCAAAATCCAGTCTGTTTAATGTATGGTTAGGCTTTAACCTGTGCTCTATTTCTTCACTCAGTTACAAGTTCTGTACAGACAGAACACACCAATAGAACAGCACAGACTGTTTGATAGGAAGATGTCTTCAAGTGGCATAAAGCTCACCATATGTTTGGTATCGATTCAAGACTGCCTCTCCACTCAATTAGATGCTCCATATCTATGGGATAATGCCAAGTCAGAGGCAAAGGGACTATCATTGTGCCAGACTGGTACCAAGGAAGCTCTGTAAGATCAGAGTATCCACGCTCATCGGCTTATAAAACACAATGTTGACTGTGGAAATAACGAGCAGTTTACTATCGAATACAAGTACCCATCACCTGCTATCCAAAGAAAGGGCATAAAGACGACACAATGTGGTGAATGTGGACTCACATAAACACACAGCAGCTGTGCAGAAAGCTGAGAGGAAAGCACCCCTCCATAAGGCCCACAAATGAACTACACCTAGTGTAGGATGAGCCTTTACTCTGGACAGGAGGGGAGTAGCCAACAATACTGTACATGTACCCACTGAATGGTTTCTGAAACCAGAGGGACAGCCTGGTCTCAGACAGGTCTAGCCTGGAAACCAGGGACACAAACAGAGAGAAGATTTAACTTCTTAAGACTTGACTCTATAGTGTAACCTGCTACAACATTCCTCGTAGAAAGAATTAAATGCATTTGCATATTTCTCCCTGTACAGTGCTGAATATCATTGAAGCCTTCAAGGAATCTGGAGGAATTGCAATTTGGAAGGGCACTGGGTGCAGGCTTAAGCTGGACACCATCATTTCAGATCCCTGCACCACTGCATCTGGAACCAGCACTCAGAAATAGCTGCTAGATCCACATGGAAAAGAGATTACTCTGGGAAACCGCTGTCAGCACTAAAATTAATAGTTACTTTCACAAATCCCCCCCTAACAGTTAAGGAAGTGTGATGCTAAGATTGTCCAAATCATGTTTTAGCCTCTCAAGTCTTCGAGCCAGACCCTGTTATGGTAGAGGGTTGTAATGTGGTTCTGGGCAAAGCTTATCTGCATTTTGGGATGACACAATTAATGCAGAAAGGTTCAGAGATTTTACAGCATCATATGCTGCCAACAAGAATACATTTTAAAAAAATAAAATGTAAAAAAGGCAATTGCATCATGGCATTTTTGCAAAAAAGAGCAATGCATTCCAAACACCCCTGATCTTTTTGTGTTACAACTTGTAAATGGGTGTGATATTATTTTCCCTTTTTCCATGTTTTTTTTATTATTTCAAATTCCCATTTTTCTGATTTGTGGATATAGACCTTTAAAAGCTAAATTCAGAAGACATCCTTTTCAGTATTGTTGAGCTATTGTTGGGGCAGTTTTATTCTGTAGCACTTATGTGAGCACACTCGTGTCTCTTTAGAAAGGAACATTTTATCTAAAAAAAAAGATGAGATGCCTAACAATGGCTAAATCAAAACTTTAAGTACATATAGTTCTCTTTTCAATTGCACAAATCTTTTGAGGCTGAAGTGTGTTACAATCATAAAAAAAATGTATGAGTGTATTTATTTAATTGATCTTTTATGTAGTTTCTCAGTTTAATTTCTAAGTTTATTTGTTTTTCCGTGATGGTTTTTCTTTTTTATATTTCATATTTTTTAAAAGATACTGTATTTTTAACATTTCAATAATTTTAAAATACTTAAACTTTTAAAAATTAGAAAATAAAATTGTTCAACAACAATGGCACATTATCAATATCTTTGGGGAGAACATTGATACAATAATCCAACCCCACTGATATTCGGATATTCAAATCAACGCCTGTCTGGATCTACCTTCAACCTACCATAAAGCCCTGCTCCCCAAGGACACCTCCTCACCCCTTTGGGCCTTTGGCACCTCCACCTGGACCTGGAATACCCTTCCCAGACCCCTGATACCTCCACTCCCCCTCCGACCCAAAACACCCCCAACCGGCCGAGGCAGATGGCCGCCCACCCTGAGCCATGGTTCTGCTCCAGGTTTCTGCCTGTTAAAAGGAAGTTTTTCCTTGCCTGTGTCGCCTAGTGCTGCTCATGGTGGGAATTGTTGGGTTTCTGTAGTTAACTTCAGAGTAGGTCTGACCTGCTCTGTTTGGAAAGCTGTGAGACAACTGTTGTTGTGATGTGGCGCTATAGAAATAAAGTTTAATTTAATTTAATTGAATCTCCTGTCATCCCAGTGGTTCTGCGTTTACTTTTGAGTCCTGTCCTCACCTTTTCTTCACCAATAAAGTTGGCACAATAGTGAGATCCTTCTTTTGTGCAGAAGTTATCTCTGGTTAAGTTGCACCCTTTGTTTCTAAATGCACTGCAGCTCAGTCAGACGATGTGGTTCACCACATTCAATTACCGTCGATTAGAATAATTTCCTATGAAATTTCATGGGAAATTATTCTAATCTTGGGGTAGCTTGGGGTAGTAAAACAAAAACTTTTAAAATGCATGTGGGTTAAGTTCAAATTGCAAATGGCAACATGAAAGTAACGTGTGTTTGAGGCTTAGTTGGAATATACAAGATGTTCACAACATTTAGCTGCAAAGATATCTGAAGACAACACTATTGACTCACTTATAAATGTAAATTAATCATGTTATGAATGATATTCAAAATGCTATTTTAGTATTTCATGTTGTGTATGCATTCATCTCTTCAGGCCCAAAACACAACAAAATGAGTTTAAATTTAATAAGCATAACACATTTATAAGCTGAACCATATGTTGGGACTTGTTGGTTGTCACAGTATTTCTGTGACTGTAAGAGTTTTTTTGTTTTCCATTAAGCTACAAACCTTGAATGGTGTCACTTTAAGTGGACTGCAGAGCCTGACAATTACCAAAAAAAGCAGCAACCTTATGCATGACCAAATATATAATATTAAAAACATAATCAACGAAACAGGCTGGAGATTCTGACTATACTTACCACAGTGGCCCGCCTCATTTTCTTGCTGAAATAGCTATAATGAGGATGAGGATGGAGAGGATGATGGCTCCAGCCACCAGCAGATAACACTTCCTCCTTCTTAACTGCCTCTGCAGAGAAAAAGAAATATGTTAAAGGATTATGGCCAGGGACCTCCAAATAGTTGTAGACAGGCTCATAACAAAGTAACCCCTCTGATTTGAGACCTATTAAAGGGTATGATGGTGCTTTTTCCCTGTTCTGCTGAAAATCTGCTGGGGTCAACATTTTGACATGTTTTCTTTCCCAGTTGCCACTGGGTGAAAGGCAAGAAACAACATGGACTGATCACCAGTCCATCACAGAACATGGTGAAACATACTGGTGAAGACAGTTGAATGTGATGGAATACATAACTGTAATTTACATGTATGACCTGTTTTCTATGTATATAGAAAATGGATGGTTTCTTTCTTTGTTTAAACTTCATCAGTTCAGAGCTGCACAATGCTTCAACATCATGTTTTATTAACGGTAAGGAAAACTTTTTTTCATATTAATTAAACAAAGTCACTGATGCTTTTACTTTATGTTTTTAGGATTTTTTGAAAAAATTCCATCCATCCATTACCATTACCACTTATTCTGTAATGGGGTCTCGGGGGAACTGGAGCCTATCCCAGTGGTCAATGGCCGAGAGGCGGGGTACACCCTGGACGGTCCCCAGTCCATCACAGGGACACGCAGAGACACACAAGGACCAACAACCACACACACTCACATTCACTCCTAAGGGCAATTTGGAATGTCTAATCAACCTAACATGCAGGTCAGGTTGATTACATGGACAGTGGGAGGAAGCCGGAGAACCCGGAGAGAACCCACAGACACAGGAGAACATGCAGACTCCACCCAGAAAGGTCCTGGTTCCCCCGGGACTCCAACCCACAACCCTCTTGCTGTGTTGCTAACTCCCACACCGCACATAATTCCATAAGAGTCAATTATTCTTCACATGGAGCACATGTGCTTCATTCATCGGTCAATTATTTGCCATGACAAAAAGTTACCCAGTGAAACGAAAGAGGTGTTTCTATATTAAAAAACTGTTACATGACATGGATTGAAGAGCTTTAGTTGAAAAAAGAAAAAGATTACAATATATACATATTTATATATACACACAATTTATTTTTGTATAAAATATACAAAAAATATATTTTTATACACACACACATATATATATATATACATATATATATATATGTGTGTATGTGTGTTTGCTCCTTGTCTCCCCAGGCAGTGACGAAGTGTAGAAGCACAAAATCTATGTTGTTTTGAAATGCGTTTTCTCCCTTTTTTCCCTGCCCGTTTTCTGCTACAAAGGCAGTCAGACCAGAGCCGGGGCTGGAGTCTTTAAATCCTGACGCGCTTCAAAGCACGCAGAGAGCAATTCATCTTCTTATCTGAGACTCAAAACAGGCTTTCTGTGTGGAAGAGAGAGGGAGACGGGGAGAGCAGTGAGGGGAAGAAAAAATGCTGTCGAGTAATTTCCCGTTTAAATGTTCCACTCCACAACAATTTGCATAAGCAGCCCTGCGTCTGTGATAAGAAGATTGGTAATTTTCAAAGGCTCTGTGGGGATTGAGAATTAAAAGCCTTTCTCCACTATCTCCCCTCATGCAGCTGGCCACCACAGATTCCCCTGCTTCTCTCACGCGTTTCCTCCTAAACTACGCCTTATAAACTTTCCCTGCCTGTCTGCCATTCTCTGCGAGCCTGGGCAGGACGGAGTTGCTGCTTCCCTTTAGAACTGCTCCCTCTCTCTCCATCTCCCCTGCACTGTTTCACTGGTTGCACGCCCCGGTGTTGCTGTTGTTTAGGGAGAAGAAATAAGGCAGAATAGGAACATGAAAGAGCTTAGTCTAACAAAGGAAGTGTTGAGGTACTTTTAATGCGGACTTTTACAGATTGCGGAACAGCCTAAGAGGCAAAAAGGGAGAGGGGTGCAGAGAATAGGGAAGAGTGGAGGGATGCTCTTATCGTTTCTCAAAGATTGCAGCGTGTTTGGGAGGATTTTTCATTAGCGCCCGGCCTCCTGGTCTTAAGGATGGTGCCGGGTCTCTGCATACCCCGGGGCGCAGTATAGGTTACACATAACGTTCCCGCTTATTTTTCAGACACCATAAAGCACGCTCACTGTTTAATCTCCTTCTAATATGTGCCTCAGTGGTGGGTGCTTATTCACAACATTGTCTGCCCACTATCTGCCTTTCACTAACAAGTAACATTTGTTTTAATGCGTTGGGCTTAATGCGATGGACTGACGTGTATTTATATGAGATTTGTGCTTTAACTTTGTACCACTGAGACGACGAAGTGACAATGTTTGACTTTTTATAGAAAAGGAATCATCTGCCAATGATTGCACAGAACTGAACTGCAAACCAAAATCCATAATAGATACAGGCATCACTATATGTGTATATATTTTCTTATAAAGAGTGAAACATGTCAAAACACACAGGGTCTCTGTAAATGGATGCAAGGACAGAATGAGGAGTTTTTGAAAGTGCCTACAATGGTAAATATGCCACTATAACACGTATGTTATGATCTAACGGGAAAAAAGTTCCCAAACAACACCGACAGTGTAAAAAGACATCTGTGAAACATCTGGATATGAGTGTATCTAGACAACTGCCTTAAGTGTTTGCCAACAATTGTGAACTGAGCTCATGGACATCTGAACCAATAACAACCCAGAGAGACTATTTGAACTATAAATTATTCATTAGGAAATGATCTAAAGAAACCTGTGGAATATTACAAATCTTCCACATTTGGTAGTGGTACATTTTCAATGTGATGAGTGGGTTCCATTTGTTCAGTTTTCTCTTTTCTTTTTAGAATAAAATTGGTCAGATTTGCTGTAGGTTAACCTTGTTGTTCTATGTTTAAAAGATTGTTCCATCATTTAGTACCCCATTTGTAGTCTTTTCTTTTTCCTCCCATATTAGTCAATAAAAGTCAGAAACAGATAAGCTGATCCTACCAGAGAGAGCAGGCCTGACAAACAGCTCAGCTCAACATCACCATTCATTTTGAAACGTCATGATAATACTCCACTTTCACAACATGCCTCACACTCACTTCCCAAGTGTTACCACTTATTCCACATTCTAAAATAAAATAATTAAATACTCTCCTAAAATACGTCTAAGGAGAGAAGGTGCTAATTGTGCTAATTTGAGTTCTCACTCTTAGCTGCTTATATATTTGTTAAAGAATTATTTTTGACCGCTTTCAGGAAGTTGAATAATTGTTTAGCATCGCTATCATTACAAGAGGAACTCCTTGATGGTTGCTACATATTCTCTGTGGTGATAAGTGTTGTGATGTCAGTCTGTAGTCACAAACTAATCCTAAACCACAGACTGCATACAGAGATCAGAGGGGGGGGGGGGAATACACTTCACTCCCCAGCAATGTAGAGCGACTGGACTCCAATCTTGACAGTAATGTTTTTCACAAATTTGTTTGTCTATATTTTACCTTGTGTCTTTATTTTGAAATTTTGTCCATCCAACGATAGTTTAGTGACACATTTTGTGTAAGAAATGGTTGGAAACTAGATGTCATCAGCCCTTACTTTTTTTTACAATTGAAACCACCCACAACTATGTTTGAGTTATAGGTATTAATTCAACTTTTTTGTTGCGGCTTAAATTTGAATGAAGGATTATTATTATTCATACAATTGAGAAGGAATAGTATAGTTATTTCCACTGCAACGATGGATTTTTCAAAAAAAGCTTTCGTGTTTTTCTGTTTTTGTAGAACACTTGCCTCCAATTCTTGTTTTCAAAATCAAAACCTATTGCTGACATAAATAGCAAAAGATGATGAGTGACATTTGTACTGTTTCCCAATTTTTCTTGCTGCCTTTAACTTTCCGAAACCATGAAGCATTGAAGAAAATACTTTCTCCTTGAAGTATGATTAGAAATAAAGTGTGTTGCCGTACGAATCATCTGAGTAATCTCAGCCTCATCTGCATGCTTTGTTTCTAGTTCATAAACTGATTACCTCGTGTGACATGATAAATATCCTTGTAATGCTATGCTGTGATAATGAACATCCCATTATTCTGCCTTTATCCCATCTGGTTTTAGAAATTGGAAGTCCATAAAATAAATAATCTATACAAAAGAACTGCCTCAATCTTAACTGAATAATATATGGAATTTACATAAACTTCACTTTCCTATGTAGTCACTGATTATGGTATTTGAGAGTAGCAGCAATTGAACCAACATTTTTGGCACATTTCGACATTGATGGGATTGCATTTGTGATACTATAAAAAAAAGAAGAAAAATAAAGTTTCACTGTATATTGATTGGTGATATTCTTAATGATTATTAAAATGTTTCATGAATCATGAAAAGGGAAAGTTTTACATGAAAAGGTACCGTAAGAAAAAAAGTTGAAATTTAAATTTTTAATTTAATTATTAGACATGATGTTTTAATATCATGTATAGTTTTTAAACAGCAGTTAGTGTTTGTCTTAGCTTTCTGCTAAGGGACAGGGACTTAAATTGGTGGTAGTACAAACTTTCTATAGGCTTTTATTCCTCATAAGCTGACTTTATGAAAACAGCAGACATCAGTGTTGACTTTATCTGCAAACACAGAATTCAGAATCACACATGAATGACTGCAAATGCTTTCCCATGATGCACTGATCAACATTAAAAGTGCAGCTATAAAACATCAAACCAATAAGAAAAGGGGGAAAAAACGCTGGACTCCTGAACTTGTACAGTGACCCTTTATCCATGCAGATGTTCTTTTTTTGTTGTTTATTCTTAAATTTAGCAGAACAGAAGTTTTGAATTAATATATTCAGAACATTTAAGTTAGTGTAACTGTTCCCATCTTCATCTCATCTCCGACATGATCAGTTCATAGTTCTGCTTCAGCAAAGATATGTTGTCCTAGCTTTGGTCAAAAATTGCCAAAAATAATTATATTAGACATATGAGATCTAAACTTAGGTGTCGTATGTCTATCAGAGAATGCTGCGACCAGATTTAATACATTTCTTTCATTATTATTTTCTTTCC